ACACACACACACACACACACTATCTATCTATACATATATATACACACACACACACACACACACACACACACACAGAGGCTACGTCTACATTGGAATGATTTTGCGCAAATACTTTTTAACGCAAGAGTTCTTGCGTTTAGAGTATTTGCTCAAGAGAGCATCTACACTGGGCATGGATGCTGTTGCGCAAAAGCACATCTCTTGCGGAAAGGCACGTGCCAGTGTAGATGCTCTCTTGCACAAATACTCTAAACGCAAGAACTCTTGCGTTAAAAAGTATTTGCGCAAAATCATTCCAATGTAGACGTAGCCTGTGTGTGTATGTATATATATATATATGTATATTAGTATTTGGAGTTAGAGTATTTGCACAAGAGAGCGTCTGGACTGGCATGCGCCTTTGCGCAAGAGATGTGCTTTTGTGCAACAGCATCAATGCCCAGTGTAGATGCTCTCTTGCACAAGAAAGCTTCAATGGCCATTTTAACCATCGGGCTTTCTTGCACAAGAAATTCATGTTGCCTGTCTACACTGGCCTTGTGCGCAAGAACAGTTGCGCAAGAGGGCTTATTCCTGAGCAGGAGCGTCAGAGTTCTTGCACAAGAAGCACTGATTTCACACATTAGAACATCAGTGTTCTTGCGCAAGAACTTATGGCCAGTGTAGACGGGCAGCAAGTTTTTGCGCAAAAGCATCTGCTTTTGCACAAAATCATGCCAGTGTAGACATAGCCACATATAATGTATCCCTAGTATTTAATAGGAGTCCAAAGTCCACAGGAAGATAGACCTGCTCTTGCAGATGTTACAAGACAGGCTGGAATAGCTACAGAGAATAGGGAGGTTTGGCGAGAAACAGCAGGCCATAATCTCCTTTATTCACACCAGCTTTAGATCAATGTAATGCCATTATTTCCAGTATTGCAAATTCAAAAAGTTCGGAAGTCACGAGAATAATAAAATTGTGGGTGTTTTTTCTTTGCCTAATCATATTCTCCATCTCAGAATTTAAAAAAGTACTAAATATTGTGAGACTCATGATAAAGAGTGAGAGTTGGCAAAACTGTACATCAGATTTACACTAATATAATCAATTTACAGGTATAACAATGCAATCTGTTCAGCTGCCAAAGACACTAACAATCTATAGTTCCTTGAGACAGTTCTTCTAATAGAGTTGGATTGCAACTGTGTGCAATATATTTGAGGAGACATTGTGGCAGTCTCTTAAGACAGGGTGTTGTAACACCATGCTGACAATACAGACGTGACTTGTACATCTGTTACAGGAGTAAATACTTGGAGAATGGAAGATTCTGAGAGATGTTTTCTCCAAGCAGGATATAGGATGGAAATAGGTCAGCTGATCAAATATGTGACCGCCTGCTGGGCACTATTTAAAAGAATGTATGAGTGTGATTTTGAGAAAGATGAGGACTGAGGTAAGCTTGTTGAAGCAGATGGCCTGGAGTAGCAGGAAAAGGTATGTAGGAGGAAAGGGTATGGTTTGTCCTAGCCTAGCCTGTACGAAGTGGAACAAGCTTCTACTATCAGTGCTTTGTATTACTATGACCTCTTTTGCATCTTCTGTTTATTAATAAAATTAAATTTGAGGAAAGATGTGAAACTGAAATTGAAAGTTTGGGCTTTATGTTGACTATTGTGGCTGGTGAATCTTCCCCCATCTTATGTATGTAATTAGGATAGTCTCTAACACAGATTTGTGAGGAGTCTCTCTAGTCATGGGTGACCAAAAACTCCTCAGGGAAAATTTTAATCTCTATTCCAAGTTCCTGGGGAGGCTAAAACCCAATGCAATCTTCCAGAATCATTTAGTTGTAGATGATGATTTATGTTTTCTAGACAACAAGACAAAAGATGGAGCTTGAGGTCTAACCCTAACCAGAGAGAATCCTGTTCAACGCCTCAAAACTTGTGATTTCTGAGACTATCATGCCAACTTGAAATGGATACACAAATACCTCCTAAGAAACTAACTGCAGCTCATAACATACTATTTGGCTGCGTCTAGACTGGCATGATTTTGCAGAAATACTTTTAACGGAAAAGTTTTTCCGTTAAAAGTATTTCTGCAAAATCATGCCAGTCTAGACGCAGCCAAATAGTATGTTATGAGCTGCAGTTAGTTTCTTAGGAGGTATTTGTGTATCCATTTCAAGTTGGCATGATAGTCTCAGAAATCACAAGTTTTGAGGCGTTGAACAGGATTCTCTCTGGTTAGGGTTAGACCTCAAGCTCCATCTTTTGTCTTGTTGTCTAGAAAACATAAATCATCATCTACAACTAAATGATTCTGGAAGATTGCATTGGGTTTTAGCCTCCCCAGGAACTTGGAATAGAGATTAAAATTTTCCCTGAGGAGTCTTTGGTCACCCATGACTAGAGAGACTCCTCACAAATCTGTGTTATTTGTATAACCTGCTCTCAGATGGTAGTAAGGGGTCAAAATCATTTAAGTAAGTTTTATGCCTCATGTGATTGGGGGGGGGAGTGTTTGTAGTGGGATTAAATCTGTTTTAATTAAGTGCTCAAGGAACCAACAAATATCTGTTACTTAGAGATGGAGCAGAACTGTTCTCCTTTTCTAAGGGGATGTTTTTGGGCAGAGATAATTAAAGATGATGTCTGAATACAAAAAGTGGTCTCTGGTACAGGTTTCACTAATAGTTTTAGAGAATTTAAATACTAACATTTCATGGGCTTGTTTGTTTCGCTTTCTGTATTGAAACTAGACCTGCTTTCTTTAAGATATTGCAACTGCAAATTTGCTAAATAAGGGATAGTCACTGTTGGAAATCCCTGCTGAGAGACAATGAGCCATGACACCAGAAAGTTCAAGTTAAAAGTGAGATAGCAACTTAAAGACTGAGTCCAAGGCATTCAAATGAATCTGAGTATCGGTGTACGCATTGGAAAAGTCACATTAACCTTAATCTAAATCCAGTGTATACCGTTCTCTTTGAGGGATTAACAGGATAAAAGCAAACAGAATGCCGAATTCCTAGTTCTGTTTGTGCATGTTTGGGAGGTGACCCAAAAATACCTGTATCAAACTATATAGTACAGACATACTGAGATCTTTATTATTATTGCTAAAAATAAATTCCTTCAATATTTGCCAGGGTCAGAAGAAGGTTGTTATTGGTAAGTATGTAAAGTTCACCTATTTTCAGTGAGGACCGGTAGAACACAGTTATTGTTTTCCTGTGACTTTTCTCTAAAATATCATAGTTTAGTTTACCTAGATGTTTATCTTCCATCTCGTAATGTTCCCATTAATAGTAATGATATTTAGTTGTTAATTCTCTGCAAGAGGTATGATTTCAAGGAAAAACATATGGACTTGCCTTTCTTTTTCAGTTCCAATGCTAAGGCTATGTCTACACTATAGGGCTACGTCTACACTGGCATGATTTTCCGAAAATGCTTTGAACGGAAAAGTTTTCCGTTAAAAGCATTTTCGGAAAAATCGCATCTAGATTGGCAGGATGCTTTTCCACAAAAGCACTTTTTGCGGAAAGGCATCCTTGGCCAATCTAGACGCGATTTTCCGCAAAAAAGCCCCAATTGCCATTTTCGCGATCGGGGCTTTTTTGCGGAAAACAGTACTATGCTGTCTACACTGGCCCTTTTGTGCAAAAGTCTTTCGGAAAAAGACTTTTGCCCAAACGGGAGCAGCATAGTATTTCCGGAAAAGCACTGATGATTTTACATGAGATTGTCAGTGCTTTTCTGGAAATTCAAGCGGCCAGTGTAGACAGCTGGCAAGTTTTTCTTTACGGAAAAACTTGCCAGTCTAGACACAGCCTAGAGTTTTTGTGGGAAAGTGGCCGTTTTGTGGAAAAATGACTGTTTTTCCACAAAAACTCAGTGTGCACACCTCAAGAGCATTTTTGTGCAAGTAAATCTAAAGATCAGAGAGGTTTATGTGCAATTGGTAATCCTCATTCTACGAGGAAGAACGCCTTTTTGCACAAGAGCTCTTGCGCAAAAAGGCGTGTGTGGACAGGGAAGAGAGATTTTTTGCATAAGCAGAGGGAAGAGGAAAAAGCACAGATGCCCTGGTGGCCATTCTGTCCATAGCAATCACTGCTTACTTGAGAGAGAGCATCCAGGAAGTCTGGACACTCTCTTTTGCAAAAGTGCATTGGTTTTTTGATGCACTTTTGCAATGTAGATGCTCTTTAGCGCAAGAAGTTTTTGTGGAAGATCTCTTCTGACAAAAACTTATTGCGCAAAAAGCCTGCAGTCTACACTTAGCCTAAGGGTAAGACACTAAGCACAACTAAATTAATGTTTATGGAAGTGTCAGATAATTTTCTCTGCAATTTTGCTAGTAAATGAAGTTCACTTGTTTAAGGAAATATGCCAGGGTCCTTTCACGTAAGAGTGTCAGCAGTATTAAGAAGTTAGCGTTCAACCTTACCCACCCAGCCAGGGCCCACAAGCAAGTGACAAGAGCAGTAGAGAAACCTTTTAATATAAACACGTGGGCCAGACTGCCAACTACACAGGAGGGAACTAAGAGTGCTGCAGCAACCCCCGGTTTAAAGTGTTTTCCATTATAATCGGGGTTTGTTGTTTTATTCAATGGCTTTAGCAGTCCCACTATACAAATCGTTTCTGCGCCTGGCCCATTTGCTTTCACAGGGAGCCTTTGCCTTCAGCCTCCATGAGCTACCACTACCAGACGGTCCGTTAGTATAAACGCCTGTACGTTACCTGACGCTGCAGCCCCTCCGCAGGAGTTCCAGGGGAGGTATAAAGCGAGGGGGCGGAGGGACAGCTCCTGTGGGGCCGGGAGGGAAGGAGCTAAAAGCGGGAAGGGTCTGGCCACGCCGCTGCCCAGCAGCAGGTGGAACTCAAAGAAGCGCCTCCGCCGGCGCGGCTCGACTGGGCTCGGCCAAAGGCTCCGGGCTGTTACGAGCCGCGCCAAAGGGCGGTTGGGGAATGACCCTGAGGGAATCCCTCCTCCCCCTCGGTCCCCACCCGAGCCTTTCAGCACCTAGCTCGCGGCCGAGGTGGGGTTTGTGTGAGGCGAGGCGAGCCCAGCCCAGGGACTGCCGCGCCGCCTTGCCTGCCCCAAGCTACCTCCGCGGCACATGGCTCCCCCTCTGGCCCCCCACATCCCAAGCGCACTCACAGGGCTGCGAGCCCGGCTCCACAGCGCCACGGCCCCGCTCGACACCGCAGCTTTCTAGCCCCCCGCCGGAGAGCGAAAAGCAGCAGACTGGCCCTTGGACCATCCAAAGGGCAGCTAGAGACAAGGGGGCGGGCTCCCGAAGGGGCCCCGGCTGGGACAGGGTTGGCCCTGCTCGCGGGGGCATGTGCCGGGGCTGGACGTGCTCGTACAAGCCGCAGTCAGAGCAGCTGCACTTCGGGGGGCTTGAGTTTCAGCAGGGCGGGCTCTGCGGCTGAGCTTCAGGAGCGAAATACGGACTCGGGGCCTGGCACTTGCTGGTGAGCAAGGCTAGAACACATGTACAGCCCCACCGCAGGTTAACCGTTTAGTCATTTACATCCCTAGAAGGGACATGAAATCCCTTTTAATTGGTTAGCCAGTTAAATATTATGTTTAATCCTACCCACCTATTCCCGGTTAACCAATTAAATGGGATTTGATATCCCTAGACTGTAGACACCTATGTTCATTAAAAACACTCTTAAATAAAGACCTAAAGTTATATTTGAGTATATTAAATGTATATGTACGTTAAGGTTAAATTCTGCTCCCCAATATTCATGTGAGACCTTAAATCTCTGTGACTGAGCCAATTTTGAGCCTTAGAAGTTTTTCTTAAATACTGGGGAGAACATCTGCATGTAAAAACAAGTATGCTTTAAGCAAACAGGAGAGTGGTGATCTTACAACTGTTTCTCTGCGATCTTTAGTTGCAGCCCTGGGAGAGAGTGGAATGAGGGGGGAGGGACGGCATCTGTGCTGAAGAAGGGGGCAGTATACTAGCTTGGCTGTCTATATTTCTTAGCAACTAGGTTGTATGCATGGCTCTATTGCTTTCCCTGACAAAGTATTAGTTTTCAGCTTAAATGTAATAGGGATGTAAAAATGCATTAAAAAAAGATAACTGTAACTACTAAAAATCTTAGCAGTTACATGGTTAAATGCGCTGCAAGGCTTAGCTTTATACTGCAGAGGCCAGCAGGGGTTCCAGCCCCATATTCAAGGAGGCTCCCCTGCAGGCTCTGCAGCGGGCTCCTGTGGAGCCACAGCATGTAGCCTGCAGTGAGGAGGGTGAGGAGTAGACAGCCGGAGTAGCCTTTGCCTGCAGTGGGCCCCACGGGGCTGGAGCAGCACCCCTGTCCAGGGTTAACCTTTTACATCCCTAATATGTAGAGCTCTACCAAATTCATAATCCATTTTGGTCAATTTCACAGTCATAGGATTTTTAAAGCCCTATGACTTCAGATATTTAAATCTGAAATTTTATGGTGGTGTAATTGTACAGGCCTGACCAATAAATAAACAGTGTGTGGGAGGAGGGAGGGAGAGAGTCACAAGGTTATAGTATGGAAGATTGCGGCACTGCTACCCTACGCAGCTGTTGGTAGTAGCATTGCCTTCAGAGTTTGGCAGCTGGAGAGCAGCGGCTGCTGGTCAGGAATCCAGCTCTGAAGACAGAACTAGAACCAGCAGCTGTGTAGAACTAACAGTGGCAAAGTATGTTACTAGTACCACCTTTACTTCTGCACTTCTGTCTGCAGAGCAGGGCCTCGGGTCAGCAGCCATCACTCTGGCCACCCAGCTCTGAAAGTAGAGTACAGAAGTAAGCATATCACGAGGTATGGCATTATCACCCTTAGTTCTGTACTGTTGCTGGCAGGATGCTGCCTTGAACTGGGCACGTGGCCAACATTACAACCAGCACTCTTCAGTTGCCCAGCTCTCAAGGCAGCAATGCAGAAGTAAAGGTGGCAATACTGTGATCCTCCTAAAATAACCTTGTGAGCCCTTTGCAACTCATTCTTGGGTCAGGACCCCCAATTTGAGAAACACTAGTCTCCCCCATTAAATTTGTATAATATAGGGTATAAGCACATAAAAGGCAAGATTTCAAGGGAGAATACCATATTTCATGATATGTGATGCATTTTGCATTGCTGTCGATTTGGAAGGGCCCTAGTTTTATGGCTGAAATCTTGTGTTTATGAACATGGTACTCCAGAAGATAAAGTTCGAGGAGTTACCATTGTATTAGGCTGCAAAATCCACCTGAACATGGAGTTTAGGAAAGTGAAACTATAATTTGTCTTCCTTCTCTGTTCTCCCAAGCAGCATGACTTAGTAGTCATAAATGTTAGCAGGATTTTGTATCCTGGTGATCAGGTGATCTGCTGTTACATAAAAGATATGGATAATTGTGTATTTTTTAGCAGTTGAAGTGAGGACTGACTGATTTTTCTCATACATGAGTTTTATATTGTTATAACTAAGTTGACTTCAGTGGAGATACCACTTATTTTACAGCCACATGGAAAAAAAAATCAGGATTTGAATGTATTATAGAAACTAATTCCTTACTTTGATCCCTGATGAAAATCCTTTAGGAAGGCTTACTTTTAAGCAATGTCAAAAATATTTAAAAATATGCTCTACAAATGTCAAGTGTATTACAAAAACAAATTCCTGGTCATTGTGAGATTAAAGTTTTCAATTCCACCATAGTTAAAAACAACAAGTAGTCCTGTAGCAACACTATATACAAGGATCATGAGCTTTCGTGGCAAAACCTACTTCCTCAGATGAGCATAGTAGAGCAAAAAGGAGGGAGACCCTCACAATTTATAACAGAAAAAGAAGGGGGGAGTACATGTCAGTTGTACTGCTAGTGCTAATGAATCTAATTGAGTGGACTGGAAGTGTCCCATACTAGCTTTGATGTCAATTGGGTGTTGAAAGTAAGGAAAACAGGTTTTATAATGGCCCATCCAGTTCAGGTCTTTCTTCAAGTCATGAGAGAGAGTGTCAAATTTGCATATGAAGGCTAGTTCCTCTCTCCCTCTCTCTGTAATTGGTTTTTGAAATTCCTTTGTAGCAGAATGGCTATTTTAAATCCATTAATGAGTGCCCAGGTTGGTTAAAATGTTCTACAAGTTTTTGTATATTACCATTTCTGATATGACTTGTGCCCATTTATCCTTTGGGATAGAGACTGTCCAGTTGTAACAGCTATGACTGGTGATGGTGAGCATGTAAAGCTGATCATTTAGAAAAGGGGTGGGGAATCTTTTTTGGGTCAGGGACCACTGACAGAAAAAAAAAAAGTCAGGCACAGAGCCACACACAAGTGAGAAGCAAAAACACCACCACCCAAACAAAAAACCCTCACTAGTAGTCCTGATCCTTGCACACCAGAGCCTATGGGGGCCCATATGGTTCCCAGATGGTTTAACCAAAAACAACAAACACCCCTCCCCCCCCAAAAAAACAGGGAAAAAATTATGTTGAAGGGGAAAAAAATGGGGCGAGACCAAAGTTGTTGAGCAAAAAAACCCAGCATGTCCCCTTTAAGAGTGAGTGCAGGGATAGGAACAGGGGAGAAGGTGAGCACTAAGACCCAGGGGAAACATTTTGTGCTGGCAGCCTTGTGGAACCAGGTCTAGGAAGAGTAGAGGTTGAGCATTAAGACCCAGGAAGGCATTGCTTCCCCTTGCTCAGGTCTTTAGGCTTTTTGCCAGCAGCCATCTTGTTTTCTGGGTTGACCAAGAAGGGAGCTTCCCTGAGGAACCAGGTAAGCAGAGGGTCCAGGAGGAGTGGGGCTGGGCCTGGGCCTGGCCCTGGGGACTGGGCTCAGTTGCCAAGTGTCTGGTATTTTTGCCTCCTGGCAACATTTTAGTTGTCTGGTATTTTCAGAATTTTACCAGACAGGAGGCAAAAATACCGGACTGTCCAGGTCAATACTGGACACCTGGCAACCCTAGGGGCCCATCCCTGATTTAGATTAAAAGCAGGGAATAAGCTAAATGTAAGGGGACTTAGCCCCTTACTAAAACTCAGTGGGAGTTTTTGGTTGGCCAACTCCCAGTATCAAAAGGGTAAGGGTCCATGAGAAATCAGAGCCCTGAGACTGACAGATCCCAGGGACAATGAGAAGAAGCCAACACTGCAGGTCAGCCTGATTGACAGGCTGGACAGGAAAATAGGGGAATTAGAAGGCTAGGTCCCGCCCTCTGTGTGTGCTGGGATTTTCTGGGTCTGAGTCAAAGTGGGAGAGAGCTAAGACGACTAGCAAGGGATCCAGGCTGTACAGAGGAGTAGTCTGCAGTGACAGAGCCAGACACACAGCCCAAGGAGTAAAAGCTGTGCTGAGAGGCAGACCTACAGTGACCAGAGCCAAAGGGGTCAGAGGAGCAACCCTAGGAGCTGGAGGCTGGCAAAGCAACATAGTCTGCAGCTGGGTGTGGTGAGCAGCTGGGACCAGCAAAGGGGGGGGAAAGGCTTTGGGCAGAGAGACACCACCAGCCAAGAGGCCCTGCAGGCCAGACTTGGAGAGGGATTGTAACTCTGACTAGGAGAGGGGTCCTGCCACCTAGAGCCTGAAGTCATGTGTTCACTGCCAGAGCAAGTGTGTCCATCCTGCAGCCTCCCGGGCAGCACAGCCAAGGCCTGAGAGAGAGCCCTATAAGGAACAGACTGTGAACTGTCCTTACACTCTGCAAACTGCTGTTTGTGATGTCCCCATGCTATAGAGCAGGGCTATGTGTTCTCTTTTAACCTTTCATTTTTTCCTTATTCTTTTTAATCAGTTGCTGTTTTAATAAATTGTATTTGCTTTGAACTGTATGTAATGACCACTGGGTCAAGAAAGCATCAAGTGTGAAGACAGCACCCCAGAGTGGGGATGCCCTAGCCCCTGCCCTAAGTGACTACAAGGTCTGGGATTAAGCCCCAGAAAACCTGGGCCCAGCCTTGTTAGGATTTCGAGGTCTCTGCTACTCAGGAGAGTGGAAGGGTTGTCCTCAGGGTCAGGGAGACCTTTGGGTAAAAGAGTGGGAGCGGGGACTCATATCCTTTCGCTGGTCCATTTCTCCTGGGTAGTATAGAAGCCAGGAAAGTTCCCCACAATTGCAGGACCATTTCCCCCTCCCCCCCCCTTACATAAAGATGAGTCAGTCAGATGTTTGTGTTTGTTCTGTTGAAGCTAATGAGAAATTGAGGGAATATTTCTTGTTTGCTGCCTATAGCCCCTGGTTAATTTGCTTTCTGTTCAGTGGGATGTTATAGGTGATATAGGTTGTTGTGTGTTTTGTTGTTGTTGAACTTTAGTTTCTAATTGAGAAAAAACAAAGTATTTCATTTACAGACTTCTGCTGTGTATGTGTATTATTTTACATTAACATTTTGTAATAGTGCCAAAACTTGTGATTCCACTGACTTCAACAAAGTTATGTCAATTTATATCACCTGAGGATTTGCTTCTCAGAGTACATTTGATTCTAATTTTCCATCACTACAGAGGAATAATAGCTATTGATGTTAGTAGTAGTTTATTTTTAATCCCTGCAGAACAGACTACTCTCTCATGTTCCCACAGGACATCATAAGTTGATGTGTTGTTGAACAATAAGTAACTTATCGCTGACATATTCAGGATAAGTAGATTTAATTATTAATAGTGAATTACTGTAAGTATGGAACAGAATCAAGATGTACTGTAATGTCACAGTAGACTGATCAACTATAATCTGTTGAGCAGTTCTAAAACTGCGGCTATGTCTGGTGATCTTGTGCCAGAAGTATGCAAATGAGGCTAATCATGGAATATTGCTGAGCCTCATTTGCATATCTAATGAGCCGCCATTTTTTAGAAGAGGCGCTTGCGCCAGAAGGAGCTGTCTAGAGTGCCGCTTCTTGTGCAAGAAAAACCCTCTTGCACAAGACTGTTATTACTGAAAATAATCAGCGTAACGGCATTGTGCAAGAGGGTTTTTCTTACACAAGAAGGGGCACTGTAGACAGCTTCTTCTGGCGCAAGAGCCTCTTCTGCAAAAATGGCGGCTCATTATATATGCAAATGAGGCTTGGCGATATTCTACGCTTAGCCTCATTTGCATACTTCTGGTGCAAGATCGCACTAGTGTAGACATAGCCTGCATGTATTGTATGTCTGGAACAATCACATCGGTAGGGCATATACTAAAAATTTACTATAAAGTGTGAGTTTGTTGGTTTTTTATTTAAAATGTCAAGTGTAACAAGAGAAGATATTATGGAGGCATTATACAATCAGAACAAAATGCCAGGTCCTTTCCTAAAGCTTTTTTTAATAACATTAGACATTTTTGACAGTGTGCTCTATTTTACTGGAGGCATGGACAGATAACCTGAAGACCATCAAGAGAATGACATGCAAAAGACAAGATTAAAATTTGAACAATTAAGGGGAAAAAAATGCCATTTAGACTGAATTATTTGTTGTTTTCATTAATATTTAACTTAAACTCCAGAAAAAGACTTAGATTCTAACACCTTTGCCCCTTTACATTTTTTTAATAGCTAGCTAAAAAAAATCTAGTTAAGAAGTCAACTACAGGGAAAAATAGGACTTGATCTTTCTGATATTGCTAGTATAAAATAACACGAAAAGTTAACTTTGCAAAAACTTATACATTGTAAATGAGCAAATATAGTTTCAAACTTTTTTTTTTTGCTGATCACCTTTAACAGTAATTAGTCTGAATAGCACAATCTAGCCTAGCAGACTCTCCTCAAGTTAGGTTCCCTAGTAGATTTATAGAAGTACCATGCATTCTTAGGGTACATCTACACAGCAGGGCCAAAATCAAATTAAGCTAAGTCAAAATAAGCTTAACTCGGCTTTTGGCTTTGTCTACACAGCAGGAAATTGGAGGAAGAACACTATTCCTTAGACTTCCCTTACACGTAAAATGAGGGTTACCATGAGTTGCAATCGTATTTTAGGACTACTTCTACAACTCTTAAAATGCTTGCGGAATATAACAAGAACACTTAACCAGGACTTCCTCCTTTTAGTTTTTAGTGGAATGTCTCCAGAAACCATGGGAACAAACTGTCTTTTTGGCAGGGTTTCAGTTTTACTCACACAGCCTCTCAGTTACTAGTAGAAAACATATTTTACAGTATCTGTCTGTAACACATTCTCTCCTTTCTCCTCTCCCACGGTCACACAGAACAGTCTTTTATAAACTTCCCATGCAAAAGAGGAGAACAGAACGCAGTACCTTCCCAAACTAGTATGGGGTCATTTTAGCAGAAGTGTCTCTTCAGTCTTTCACAGTCATAGGTGTAACTGTAAGTAAGCCAAACATGCAAATAAAACATTCTAGCACTGAACATAGTACTCAGAATTAAATACATCTCTATTTCTTCTAGTCCAAATTCTCTTGCATACTTACCTCAATTGACAGGAAGAAATTTGAGCATAAAGTCTGCTGAGTTATTATATAGTTCACACTATACCCTTTTTCTGGAGGGCATTGCTCATTTCCAGCAAGTGCATCTTTAAGCTATGGGCAAGTACTGTATATGCCTCCTTAAAGGTAAGGGGCATGTTAGCCATCTTTCATTCATACTTAATGAAAGCATTATTAAATGGCCCTTTGACCATTCAACTCCACTGCTGTCCATGGTAAGTGGCTCTAAAATCCAGAAAATGAGGCATGCAAAGAGTTAAAGCTGAAAACAGTGAGATATTCTGTTTCATTGATTACATTGTCTTAGCCAATGTATAAGTCTTACCCAGAATGGGAGGGATCATGCTGCTTAGCTAGACACAGTGGAAAAATTCCAGGAGGTATACCTGTCCCTGTGCATTGAAAGCAACTACTCTGTGTATGTCTGTCTGTATGTATTGGCTTTGAGCCAAAGCTCCTTAGGGTTTTTTTTAACTGTGGTGTTTTCAGACTCGCTGACAAACCAAATCTGGGGAAGTGGGAGGGGAAAGCTTAGAGTTATATACTGGTTGTGAGGGAGGCGGATGGGACTCTACACCCTTAGCACCTAGTGCAAGCTTTCAGTGATTTGTAGTGAGCAGGCTCCCAAGAAGAGCAGAGGAGGATTTCAGCCAAGGTGCATTGTCCCTGCAAGTGGAGATGACTCTGGCAGCAAGTGTCCTGCTGAGCTTGGTGCTGAGTAGCTGTGGTTCCTGGGGACAAGACTGGCTGGTAATGTACTAGAAGGGAGGATAATCCACCCCTCTTCCACTTATTTCCCATCAAATGGAGTTGAAGAGCTTTTCACTTCAATCTGAGGATACAAAAGAGGGCTGATCACTGTTCACCAGAAAGAGAGGGGTGTCAGCGTGGGTGGTGACAGCTGTGTCACCTTCCTCAGACTGAGTGGGACACTACCTTGAGTCTGCTACCAGTTCCTATTAATCATTATATTTGGTTCCTTAAATTAATGGGGACGGGTGATGTCGTTTGCTTTCCCAAGAATGGTTGTTGGTATTCATGGAAAATAGAGGAGGAAGAATGATCAGAGAGGATATGATGTATGTATGATAGGCATGAGAGCAGGCTGTGCTCTTGCTCTGTAATTTCTGATTGCCAAGTCATTCCCAAAATAAATCAGTATCAATTTGTCATAATACCCAGCATTGTAAAGAAAGAAGGTGAATTTTTCTAAGGGCAAGTTAAGCTCTGTTTCCCAAATCGTTATGAAGATCAGGTACTGCATTTTTCAGCCTAAGGGTTGTCCCATTATTGATCAAGTATTTAAGGCAGCACTTGTTTGCTTGTCATTTTGTCTCTTGGGCCTATGTATATAATATGATAGATGTTCTAAGTATAAATTAAATAAACCTAATGCCCTACTTTGCAAAGTCTTTTTGGATTACTGACCCTGGATCTTAGTAAAATCTGAATCTCCCTGCACCCCGTAAATTGTTTGTATTCAGGTCTCCAAATCGTCCTATAAAAAAAAAAAAAGGGCTAATTAGTAGTTATGCAGCTCACTTTCTTCAATCACTCCTTTTCACATTGGTCATAATCCTCTCATTTTCACCTGGTGCTCCTCCTTGTCTATTGACTCATGATCTCACTCCCATGTAAATTATCTATTTCTTATATGGTTTGTACCATGTCTGGTGCAATGAGACTACAGTGTTTAAGTGGGACTGCAATGCCAGTAAAAATTGAAGTGTAGGAATTGCCATATTGGATCAGACACATGGTTCATCTAGTCCAGTATTCTAATTCCAAAAATGGACAGTATGAGAAGTTTCAATCAGTATCATAGCAGTAAGCATAATATACCCACTATGAAGGTGTTACACAGCTGGGGGGGGACTTTGTCCAGGGTAGAGTGGGGGTGTCCATCTAACCCCTGTCACACCTGCTGTTGCCCCTTTTCTCCCTTAGCCAATGCCTCTAATCTCTCACACCCAAGTCTGAGTACTCATGTCCTCTAGCGCCTGAGTGTCTATATGACACCCCTATTGACAAGGCAGCCCGATTCAGTATTCCCAATGTGACCCAATGGCTAAAGTCTATACCTCACCCTTATTAGCGGGTCAGCACAAGTCCATAGTCATAATACAATTCAGTATTCCCAGTGTGACCCAATGGCCAAAGTCTATACCTCACCCTTATTAGCAGGTCAGCACAAGTCCATAGTCATAATACAACCCAACGGTCAAAGTCTGTAAATTGCCCCAGTTATCAGGGCAGCACAGTTCAATAGTCTCAACATGACCCAATGGCCAAGATATATAACTCACCCCTATGGGTATGTATGTCTACACCAGCTCGTTAATTTGAGCTAGGTAGGCAAATCAGGCAACCCAAGTTGCAAATGAAGCCCAGGATTTAAATATCCCAGGCTTTATTTGCATGTTTCCGTCCGGCCACCATTTTTAAATCCCCCTTAGTTCGAACAAACTGCCCGTGGCTACACGCAGCAGTTTAAAGTTAATCCGAACTAAGGAGTACAAGTCCACAGTCCTAGTACAACCCAATTGTCAAAGTCTGTTTTAAGAGGTATAAAAAGGGGAAAGTTTTACATCCCTTGGCCAGGACAAGGGGAGTTGGTCCAGGCCATCCCACTCCACTGGGTCCCAGCCCAGGGCCCTATTAGTGGCTCACTCTAGCTACTGAGTTAGCAGGAAAATTTCTGCCGCAACATGCTGACTCTACAATGGCGGCTCACTCACCCTGTGGCTGTCGCCATTTGAGTTGCTTCCTGCTTCCATTGTCTCTGTGCACTGATGGCTCTCCATCTCCCCTCCTTCTTCTGGGATCTGGTTATTCCCACCTGCTTCTGAATCCTGCATGGTTTCTAGCTGTGTTGGGTCACCAACCTTCAAGGTAGCATCTTGGCATTTGAGCCATCACTGGGCCTTTCAAGGTGCTGGACAGGCACATCTTTTCCTTCCAGCTGCCAGCCCCAACTGAGCAGAGCTGCTCTCTTTTATAGTAATGCAGCTCAAGCATGCCCAGTAGGGCATGGGGGTGTGGCCTCCTCTGCTCTCAAGACAGGGTTAACCCCATCCTGTTAAGTGTGGGGAGAGTATGCCACATCACAGAAGTTCTCACCTAACCCTCAGCCTCATAGTTATAGAGACTGGATTAAACCCTAAAGCATGAGGATTTTTATCCCTTCCAATACTTATTTTAAAGTATTAACTACTACAATAGCTGCTCTTATTGCACCGAAACCCCCTAAACATCTAAGTACAACAGTACCTCAAAAACCTAGCTCCAGCTAATCATCATCCCCTGAATTCTACTAGATAGATAGGTGGCAGGTTCTTTGGTACTGGCTGGCTATATGGGTGTTGGTAGTGTTTTCATTCAGACTCTGCATTGGTCTATTCAACCCCCATGTTAAAAAGTGTCAATTTGAAGTGAAAACATTTTTGTTAGCAGATAGCATTTCCTATTTATTATTAGGATCTTCTCCTGTGGGACAGTGCTGGTAAACTGGAAGATAATCTGTCATGTCCAGGTGTCATTAATCATAGAATGTCATCATAGCACTACAATTGCTATTAGTAGGACATGTAAAATGTAGAATGAAAAAGAAAAAAAAAGCCAAAATGGCTCTCACTTTTTACAATAGCCCATCTCCATTTGGCAAACTAGCAAACATTGACCAGAGTATTTGTAGAATTAGAATATTGTAGAAATGATTGTAACAATGACTTAAAGGTGTACTGCTGTCACTTTCTGAGGGAAATACACACATTAAATAGTAATTAAATGGCGAATTGAAGCCAATGGAAGCCAGGAGGCTCCGTGGATACACATTCTTTAGGTAAAGAAAGTGGCATAGGCCTGCTAGCGGCTTTCCCAAAGCGGGCTGTGGAACAATTTGAGAAACACTGTGTTAAAATACAGGAAATTTCTATCTTTCGAGTAGATTTGTCTGCATTGAGTTCATTTTATTTTAATGCTGGTTTTCTTCTTTCTTACAGTCTATTACATGTGGTTTTGAAACTGGTATGTATGAATAAAATAGATCTCTTTACACTGTTAAAAGAGATATCTAACTAAAAATAGCTGTCTGTGACCCTCAGTAAAACTCTCAGTAACTGATATGTACTCTGTAGAATGTGTTGTATCACGTTGCCTGATGAGGTGAGCCTTGCGTCTGCCACTTTGGTATTAATGAGCCTTTTTTTTTTTTTAACCATTTTCTCTCTCTAACTCTCTCTGATACACTGTTTCCAGTAGGTTGGATTTTATCTGTCTCTCTACTCCCTTTCTCTGTCTAGTACTTGCCTTCCTTCCAAACTATCTCTCACTTGATTGTTGGCCCAATATGCTGACACGGTATGGGTGGTTTCAGTCACTACAACAGTAGAGAAGAAAGCTCTATATCTTTATTAATTCATTGCAGAACTTCTGATCTATTATAGGAGATATTGAGTATTGTTCTAGCTCAACATATTGTCTCAAGAGTAGTATTAGTTTAAAGCCTTAGGATATCTCATTTGTGTTGATGGCATTGGGAGGATAACACCCCCTCCATTTTTTGGATCTTGCTCAATTTCTTGATAAAAAACCTGTTTTATGCTAAATATGGTTAAATGTCCATATTAATACAGGAAAGAGACTGCAAATGTCATCAGCATGCATAATTTCCAAACGTAAGCTCAAACCAGCTTTACTTGATCATAAGATATCCTATCTGATTTGAAATTTCACAGCATAAGAATGTGTCATTTAGTCACATGAGAACAATCAGAGTCTTTGAAATAAAGGGTTAGTACCAGAAACAGAATCTTCTGGGTACATGGGAAAGAAGTGGTTTTCCTTTTAATACATTCTTTTTTCTGAAGTACAAATTATGACTGTTTTCAAGAGTAGATGAAAAATACCGGTAAAATTCACAGACTGATTGACAGATATAGAATGAATTTAAATACTCAGTAGATGTTCTACTTATAACTTTTATCTACCCATCTTTGTAAGGTCCTGCCCGTGAATTGAGAAAGTGGCACAATCTAACACCAGCAGATCTTCATAATCTCAGTGCCCAGTTAGTCGAAACAGAAGTGGAGACATACTTCAGATCCTATCTTATAAATATCAGTTGGAGCCTCAGCATAGATGGTAGGTGTGTCACCCAAGTGCATAAGACTATACTCTGCAAAATTACCATGTGAATGTATTCCTCATGAGACATGTTGCATGAACAGCCCTGAACACTGATGTCTTCAAAGCACACAATGGAAACAGTGGCAGTGAAAACTTCTTTATGCTGCTCTGCCATCTTGCCTCCATATTGACCTAGCAGAACCTCTTTTAAGAGCAAGTCTGCCTACATGCCCAGTTTTAACACTTGGCTTCTCCATAGAAACTGCCAAAGCTGGTGAATTTTCTCATGTCAAATGAAAAAATGGGACACCTGTCAAATGGGAAGTGGTGTGAGATCATCAGCTTGTGGTAATTCCAGTTAATCTCTTGGGGTATGTCTACACTGTCACCCTAGTTCGAACTAGGGTGGTTAATGTGGGCAACCGAAGTTGCAAATGAAGCCCGGGATTTGAATTTCCTGGGCTTCATTTGCATCTTGCCGGGTGCCGCCATTTTTAAATGTCCGCTAGTTCGGACTCCATTCCACGAGGAGTAACAGTAGTTCAGAGTAGGAAGCCTAATCCGAACTACCTAGTTCGTGCTGCATGTAGCTGCAGGCATGGAGTCCGAACTAGCGAGCATTTAAGAATGGCGGCGCCTGGCAACATGCAAATGAAGCCCAGGAAATTCAAATCCCGGGCTTCATTTGCAACTTCGGTTGCCTACATTAACCACCCTAGTTTGAACTAGGGTGGTAGTGTAAACATACCCTTGTAGACATGCTTTCTGACCAACAAACTACAATGTTAAAAGTCACTGTTGTTGGTTTCTTTTAAAATTCCTCTCCAGCCCCCACATATGATTTTTTTCTTAAACAATGGTACTTGAATTATGTGGTCAAAAAGATTGTGCACAGTGGTTCTCCAACTGTGAGTCAGGACCCCATTTTAATAAAGTCACTAGAGCCTGCATTAGACTTGCTAGTGCATCTGCCTGGGGCAGCGGGGTTCATGCTCTGCTCCAGCCTGACTCTGCCTGCGGTCATAAAGTAATTTTTGTTGTCAAAAGGGAGCTATGGTGCAATGAAGTTGAAAACCACTATCTAACATTTAATCATTGCTGTGATCTTTGTCCTGGCAATTCCTAGAACATACTAGTGCACACAAAATCAAAGGATAATCATGACTGTACAACTGTAATAGAAATACAGTTTTAGCAATCAGATATTGCTTTGTACTAAAAATAAACCTCAGTATTTTAAACATTTTTTTTCATTTATAAGCGTCAGTGTAGGAGCTGATGTGCCACTATCAGAGATTTTGCCTTTTTAAATCCAACTGGATCCAGACTTTGTTTTAAGCCTTTCCCTCTTATAACCATGTACAGAAAAAATTGCATAAACAGACTTCTGGGGTATGGGGTGTGGAATATTAACTGCTTTCACAGTTCTGAATGCATCATTGGGGTTAATGCAGCTAGTATATTCCTGCCACAAATTGTTTGTTAACTGAGTTTGTAACTTGTTAGTGATATAGTTAGCTCTAATATTCATTAGCTTTAATATACACAGAACTTAGTTAATAAAGTTAGTAATCACAGCAGCTAATCATGTGACATCTTAGTCATATGGCTTATGATAGCTTATAGTTGTTTTTCTTTAACCAGTTCACAACATCCTTTTTTGTTGTCTATGGAGTAGGGATGTTAAGAACTAGTCGACTATCCAAGAAGCAAACGTTTATTGGATAGTCGACAGGATAGTCAACTAGTCACTCCCCCCACCACCTTCCTGCCTCTTTCAGAGAGAGGCAGCAAGCGTGGAGGAAGAGGTGGGTACTTCAAAGCGGCAGCCCGGGATCAGCTGTGTGGCACTGCCTCTTTGAAACACTGCCACAGCGTTTCAAAGTGGCAGCAACACGTGGAGCCCATTTTGAAATGCTGGGTGCAGCCCAGGATCAGCTGGGGAGTACCCAGCTGATCCTGGGCTCTGCACGGCACTTCCCACTTGTCCCAGGCTCCATGCAACATTCCAACTTTGAAATGCACAAGAGCCTCCACTGGGACTCTTGTACATTTCAAAGGTGGAATGCGGAAGTGCTTATCAACTAGTTGATGGAAATTCCTAGTATGGAGAACCCACCTAATCATACATATGTATGACCATTTCTCCTTCCTCACAGCTTTTAGATAAAAGGCTATCCCCGAGGATATTATCTCATATATTGCTACTGATGCTCTAACCTAGCCATGGCATTCTGGGATAGGTGCATAGATTTTCCCAGTGTGCATTGCTACAGATAAAGTTAGTATTGCAGCTATAAATGCATACATATGACTGAGCTGTGAAAAGCGATTTGCTATGGACTTAACTTAGTCATGTTGGTTTTAACTTGATCAGATAAGCCTGGGATGAATTAGTTATTCAGAAACATGATGATAGCTAGGAACAGGGTTTATACTGTAAATAGGGTCAAAGCCTTGGAGTATCATAACCTTATAAATATCATTGCTCTAATTAGTTTATTCCAGGAGCTATTGCATACCTGTAGTTTTTTTCTGTTTAATACTGCACAGGGTCTATTTTACTTGTTATGTATGAGCAGCAAAGATCTATGCAGATGCTTATATTAGTGAATATCAATTTATTTCTGTGAATACCAATTATGCTTCTTTACTTCCAGCCAGCATCAAAGTACTGACAGCCACAAAGATCTGTGTGATGAGTAAAGGAACTAGAGAGCATTTTGAGTGTATTCGGTGCAATTACACAGAGAAGTTTCAAAGTCAAACCACGTTTGGACATAGAAGAGTAAGAGTGGGGTTTTTTTAAGTGAATATTTTGTCATTTGTTGCTGTTAAGAGAGTAGGAAAGTATCATTTAAAATTTAAGGCCAGATCATTCGTCTGTTCCACAGTTAATAAATAGAGGTCTGGGGAAGAATGAACTGTAAATTAGACTCGTTCAGAAAAATTAATAAAACAGGGTTGTAGCAGTACAAACTTGCATTTTTTTTTCAGACACTGGAAGAGGGCAAAGTTGTGCATAGGATCTGACTGCTTTAACTATGGCAGCATGTCTCCCTAAGAAGTTCTTGCTCCCACTCTGCCCCTATATGGTACAGAGGGTCAGCCAATGTGAAGGCATGTCTACACTACAGAGGGCTTTTTTCAGAAAAACAGCCATTTTTCCGAAATAACTTGAGTTACATCCACACTGCAATTGTGTTCTTCTGAAAGTAAATCGAAAGAACAGAGTGGTTTTTCCAGTGTTGGTAATCCTCATTCTACAAGGAAGAAACCTTTTTCCGAAAGAGCTCTTTCAGAAAAAGGCAGGTGTGGACAGGGAAGAGGGAGTTCTCCTTCGAGTGGTCCCCGTGGGTGCTCCACTCTGGGTGCTGGTGCATCCTCGCGCCGGCGACCGGAGACTTTTTCTAGCTGTTTCTGCCGTGGCGCGCAGGCGCCGTGGCGCCCTCTAGTGTCGTTGGGACTGAAGGGCGCCTGCGCGCGCGCGGCTCCTCAGTTCCTTCTCTACCGTCCTCGGCAGCAGACGGAGCCCTCTCTTTGCCACTTCTGTGGGAAGAGAACAGTTAAATTCGTCGTTTTACCCCCTAGTTACCTCATCATCCAAGTTTTTAAACCCCCCCGACTAGTTTAAAAAAAAAACAGAAATAATATCTGTCCTGCACTGTACATTGAAATAACGAGTTCTGTGTTCACTAAACACATGATAATAGGTGTTGCATTTTCATATACTTGTTCTTTTTATATGGAGATGTAATATAACAATTTTCTGACTTCCACTGTAAAACCTGCACATGTCTTGAAGGTGGGGTACAAAGTTGCTTCAGAGGCCAGTGTTCATTCTTCTCTATAATATTATAATTAATGGAGATTACTTATCTCCTAGAGCTGGAAGGGACCTTGAAAGGTCATCAAGTCCAGCCCCCTGCCTTTACAGCAGGACCAAATACCATCCCTGACAAATTTTTGCCCCAAATCTGTAAATGGCCTCCACAAGGATTGAACTCACAACCCTGGGTTTAGCAGGCCAATGCTCAAACCACTGAGCTATCCCTCTGCCCTGGTGGTATTCCTCACAGCAGTGTTATCTCAAAGATTCTATGCACCTTAAATTTCCAGTTTTCATTGTTTCAATGTACATCTCTCTCAGTATTCAATTATTTGAGAGGAAAATTCTCTTTTCAATAATGCCAGCATAGCTCACAGAGTTCACTGAGATTACTAAGCATAAAGAAAAATTTGGGCCTCAAAACTGCTATTTTCATTGTTTTATTTTAGTGGCAGTTCCACTACATTGGATTCCCTGTAGAACCAGATATGTTTTATTTGATCAGTGCTTACAATCTCCCCCCCGCGAATATATATGAGGATTCTCCATCAAAATCAATCATGTTAACTTCACCAGGTAATTTACCAGTGTCTACTTAACCTGGTTCATATCTCATGTATGATTCTTTCCAGACTTTATTGCACAGGTTGTTTTGAAAATCAACAAAAACTTACTTTTATGTTCAGGCAAATTGCATAATAAAGATGTAGATGCAGGGATAATTAATTCAGCTTTGAAAATACATCCTCAGTTACTTTTCCCTTCAAATTCTTTCTTTTTTCCTTCTTTCCTTCCTTCCTTCTAGTAACAGATAATGTCAGGTTTTTAAAGCAGAAAACTGTTGGCTTTGTAGATTTTTTGTTTTTTTTATAATGTCATATCTGTGCCTACCTTTATTCTTTTAGTTCTTAATAAATGAAAGTTATATTAAGCTTTTTCTGAAAATAGGCTAAGTGCTTCAGAAAGAGGGGCCAGATGGCTCCTGTGATCTGGGTGACCCTTCCCTGATTATCAACTTTGGGAAATGAGCAGAGGGGTAGTGGCAGAGGACCCAGCTGGCTTGGAGCAGCCTTCGCCTGTGGTATGACGGGCAGGGGGCTGCTCAAGCTGAGCCCACTGCACTCTTGGCTGGGGAAGAAGAACAGTCCAAGTCTACTGTGCCACAGACCAGGGAGCTGCTCTGGTCGGTTTGGGTTCAGCCAGAGCAACCCCCGACAGTTAACCGGAAAGCATTCCAGAAAGACCTCAAGTTTTTTTGGTTTGGGTTAATAAATTGTCACCACGATATTTTATCTTAAGAGAAATGTATGTCTGCAGCGTGGTTACCTGCATATAGGAGCAGAGCTGCCAATCTATTTTTTATCTGACACAGGGAAGATGGATTAGAACACTTCCAAAATGGGAACTAAATGAGATAAGAATGCTGTTCATGGAGGTGCCTAGGGGTATGTCTACATTACAAAGTTAATTCGAACTAACTTTAATAGGGGCTACATATACAAACCGCTAGTTCGAATTTAAATCGAACTAGCGGAGCGCTTAATTCAAACTAGGTAAACCTCATTCTACAAGGAGTAACGCCTAGTTCGAAGTAAGTAGTTCGAATTAAGGGCTGTGTAGCCACTTAATTCGAACTAGTTGGAGGATAGCCCTTCCCAGGTTGCCCTGGTGGCCACTGTGGGCCAAACCAGGGAAACTCTTCTGCCCCCCTCCTGGCCCCGGAGCCCTTAAAGGGCCATGGTCTGGCTACAGTGCTTGTGCCAGTTGCAAGCCTGCCAGCACCCAGCCAGCAGACCCAGCACCTGGCACGGCAAGAGCC